GATATCTGGAGGAAAGCAAGATCAATCATCTATATAAGGCATACCTTTCCAAACAAGAGTATTTTCTGATAAAATGGATTTCCATACTGATTCTCTCCTCCGGGAGCTCCTTGCAGCCCTTTCAGATCTACTCCACTGATCTCAAGAGGTGAAAGACAAGCTGTGGGGCTATGCTCAGGTGCATGGCTTCTGGTTTTTCAAAGGACGTGGAACAATCCTAGCCGCCTCTCAGCACAACTGAAATTCTAAACCCACAGGATCAGTTTCTGGCCAGTTTCTCTGCTGGGCCCATTAGGAGTTTTAAACCTGGTTTGGAACGCAGTGTTAAGCCTTTTATTCCACACACAGGTGTCTTTGTAGATGGAGGGAAAACACTGAGGAGTCTGAAAGACTAGTTAAAACAGGCTTTCTGAAAAGAAATCCACACATCTTAATCTTCTTCATAAAACACCAACACATGGTTGCCAGGAATCTGTGTGTCAATTGGATCCAAACTTGTTGGTGAGTCATGGCTGGAGCTCTTGTCAGGAGGCTTGCTGTGTTTTGGATGGCGTCTTCAGCATCGATGAATGTTCCAAGGGGAACAATACATCTTGTTTTATGTTTCTTCTCCCAGGAAAAATCAAACAAATATTTACATGATTTTACCTAATTCTGCTTTCTCAGTAATGAATCATGACTATAATTTATCCACAGTTAGTGGAAATATGCTTCTCTATTCTGTTCCTATAACTTTTTCATCTTTAGAGTTTCCTACATATCCAAACATGCCTTTCTTATTCATAATAAAAGTTGAAATTGGCTGCTTCAGTGGAAACCCGTGTTGGGTGTTTCAGCTTTTAAGGATTGTATTCTGTCTTCCCTATTGTTCTGTACAGGATGCTGTTGTTCAATTGACTTTTTGTATACATAGTATTTTAAAATATATTTCTGACAAATGTAGCACAAGCTGTTTTAAAAATTTTAAGTTATATTTATATTGACCTTAGTATTTAGAAAAGAATGAACTAACTTCCCCCCAAAATTACACCTTTATTGAAGATCTGCAGAATGGTTGACAGATTAGAACATCTCAAAAATTGATACTTATTTTAAAACCCATGATCCATCTGTAGACAACACATTAGTTTGGTGTAACACAAGAACCAATATCTCTTTTTATACCAATACAAAATGGTCCGGACATTACTGTGTATTACTGCATCTCTCTTCTATCTTATCATTTCTATTTATTATTATTCTCTGTCTTATACACCACCCATTCCCTCTCATTCACTGGAAATTCTGTTCTTTGTTCTAATGGACTGAATGCTCTCCAGGCCTTTGTTTGGCTTTGTCTTGGACAAGTTCATCTTCAACTTTGGACTTTTCTTCATAATCCCATGAAGCACAAAAAATAAAAGACCCAGAGACAGATACTGGAGTTCCTGCTTCAAGCTGAAGATCAGAACAGCAAAGCAGCAGGCTACTAGTTCTTACCTCTATCTTAGACTGAAAGGCAATCCTGACTCCTCAGACTGCAATCTCAGACTGCTATGCTCTCCTCAATATGGCTGGAGAATCCTGAAACTATATGCCTTCCTATCCCCGATGTGGCTGGACAATGAATGCCAGTTCTGAGACCCCTTTCCTGTCTTAAATACCTCTCATAAGTCCTACGGTCAAAGGTATGAGCTCTGTTACTCTTTTAGACTGATTCAATCTCGTGTAGTCCTGGGTGGCCTTGAACTAACAGAGATCCATCTACCTCTAAATCCTGAGTCCTTGGATGAAAGGTGTATACCACTAATGCTGGATTTGTATAGCTTGAGGCTGACTTTGCTTTCTGAATCCTCAGGCAAGCTTTAATAAATCATAAATAATATGTCACCACAATGCCTTATGTTGAATTCCTTATTTCTTAGGCTCACTTTTTCTCTGTTCTTGTTTTCTTCCTTCCTAATCATGAAGCATGTCCTGTAGGAAGTTGTCTATTAGTGTACTAATAGATACTCTATTTGATATCTCTAAATAGATTCAGATCTTGAATGTGTAGAAGGCTTTTTATAATTGGACTCCCCCAATTGAGTGAATCTTTGGTTAGATGTACACAGTCATCCCTGGATATTATGAGGGGTTGTTTCCAAAAACTTCTCCATTGTAGTCACATCTGCACATCCTTAAGTCTCTTAAGGGATAGAGATATATTTGCATATAATCTCTGCATATCCTCTTGTATGCTTTATCTCTAGTTCATGGACAGTCCCTGAAGCAGTGTAAATGTTGTGTTAATAGATGTCTTATGGTATTGTTTTGGGACTAATGAAAAAGGTGAAGTGACTTTACATGCTTAGTACAGACATGGCATTTTTGATCTGCAGCTGGTTAAACCACTGATATGGAAACCTTGAACACAGAAGGCTGCTGTAATTCTAAGATGGGTGTTGTTTTCCATCAAAATGTTTCTCTAGTCTAGTTTTTATCATTACTCCTCAGAATTCAGATGCCTTCTTGATTTCTTTTAAACATTTTCATCTCAGAACTCATTTTCTTCAATTTTTCTACAGCTCCCATTTCCTATTTTCTCTTCCAATTAATTAAATGTCGGATACCTTTAAAGGAATTCTTATAAAAATCCTCCTTGTTCAATTTTATGCCTCTTTGTCTTCTGTTGGTTTCTGTGAAACTTTCTATCCTACATTTTACAAAACGTGTTGAATTTTTACGTTTGTCTCATCACATTAGAAACTAGTAGCTTTGGATTTGGAGAGATGGCTCCATGGTTAAGAACTCATACTGCTCTTGGAGAGGATCTGTGTTGAGTTTGCAGCACCCAAGTTGAGGGACACACAACCACCTGTAACTCAAGCTCCAGTGGATCTGTTGCCCTTTTCTGGTCTTTGTGGGCACCCCAAGCATAGGCATACCCTTCAAAGATACACACACACACACACACACACACACACACACACACACACAAATATGGATATATATATAAGTGTGTATATGTATAATATTAAAAATAAAATAACTCTTTTTTATTCTTCCCTCATAAAATGCATCTCAACTTCAGTTTTCCCTCCCTCCACTCCTCTCAGTCCCCATCCTCCATCCACTCTATTTCCCTTCAGAAAATAGCAGGCCTCTTAGGAATGAATAAATCTTAAGGAAAAGAAATACATATCTAAAAACTTACTATACCCACAGGTAAGTGTAGGTACCACCTTCATCAAAGGAGCTGCTCTTTACAGCAAATAGAGACCATCACAGAAAACCACAACTGAACACAACTTCAGAGATCCAACAGATCATAGGAATCTTAGCCCCTAAGGATACATCTATATTACAGTTCTTGCATCTTTGACTCAGGGAATATCTCAGAAGACAGATTATAAGAGCTAGAATACTAGAATGCTTCTGTGAAAGTCTATCCTAGAAATGGCTGCACAAAAGTTACTGTTGAAGCAATGGAAACTTCAATGGACATAACAGGGAAAGGGAAATTCCACATGTTTCCATCTTTAGACAAATAACTACAGGCAATTATTGACAGCTGGGATAAGAAGTAGCCTCTCCTGGACATGAATCCTATTTGGTTGTCTAATGCAGAGTAGTTAAACTTGAAACTATATATGCACAGTTAACAAAAGTACACTCAACAGGGTATGTGTATGTGTGCATGCACGCGTGTGTGCATGAATACACATATGCATATAACATAGAATCAAAGAAAGAGAGGCTATCAATTTGAGCTTGTCGAGGCATGGGAAGATCTGATGAGAGGAAAGGGAGGGGAGAAGTAGCATAATTCTACTTCAATTAAAAACATTTCCACCTTTAAACCCAGCACTTGGGAGACAGAAGCAGGTGGATCTCTGTGAGTTCATGGTCAACCTGTTCTACGGAGTGAGTTCTAGGACACCAGAGAAACCCTGTTTCAGAAAAAGAAAAGAAAAAGTAATTTTACAAAGCTTATTAGAAGCTCCATGGCTGGGGGTGTTGGTCAATGGATTTGCCTGTAGAAATAAGTGGATGCCTGCTTCTTTCATTGAAGATGTCAATATTTCCATTTGTGATTCTTTTCCTCAGGCTGGTCAGCATCTCTTGAATCTCCTAGTTCCCGTGCTGTGGTATATAAAATCCTCTGGTGCTGATACTACCATTATTCAGTGTGTGTGTGTGTGTGTGTGTGTGTGTGTGTGTGTGTGTTTCATACATTACTTTGGAATTTCTTCCTTGACTTTTAGCTCAAACTATTGTTTCTTAGCTTGGAGTTATGTAGATTCCCACAACCCCACAGAATAAATCCCACATTTCCAGACATGGTATCAGGGATATAGTTGTCTATTGTGCAGGAAAGTCAGAATGTTTAGGGATCAACATGGCTTTTAAAGCAGTCTTGTTAATATTTGTTGTCAAGGTGACTTCAGAATGCCTGCTATCTCTAGAGTTTTCCAGAGCATGTGCCAGCATGCTATTTCTCCAGGCTTCCTCTGGTACCTAAATTAGTTACCCACTAGCCCTTCAACTTTGAACTGTTTCCATTATTTCTTTGCCATCTTATTGCCCATTCTGATGTTTCTTCAACTTTTCAGGTATAGAACATCTCAATTTTCTGTTTGTCATGTGCTTTCTTTATGTTCCTGCAGAGCAGAGCATAACAGAACAGTGGGAGTAGAGTGTGTGTGTGTGTGTGTGTGAAGGGATTTTCAGATTGCTGTATGTAGTTTTCAGGGGCTGGATAGTTCCTCAATGGCTGTTGGCAATCCAGAGAACAGAGACATTTATAGGACTTCAGGCCAAGAGTCTAGAAGAAAGCAAACCAATTGAGTGAGCAATGAAACAGCCCTAGCTGGGGACTGAAGGTCTGAAATCTCCTCAGAGAGCTAGTGAAAGTTCATGCTCAGTGCTGAAACATCTAGAAACTGATGCCCTGGCCAACAGATCAACCTAAAATGCACCCACTCAATAAAGTTATGCTATATGTGTGTCACTTCTCCCTTTCTTTTCATCCCACCTAGGCCTCCAGCCCACTGGGTGATGTCAACCATGCTCAGGGCTGGCACTCTGCACTCAGATCTGCAGACCCACACACCAGTCTTCTCTGGAAACACCCTCACAGAAACCCTCAGAAGTCTGCATTTTGACTGCATTCTTTAGTTCAGTCAAATTGACAACCAAAATTATCCATTACCATGTGACCAGTAGCAAGCAGAGATGAATGTTGTGGTGAGCCACCATGTTTACCCAGAACCTGTTTCCACCATCCTTTTTCTTTTAACATTTATTCCACAAAGTTTGGGTTGGGGATGTATTTTACATTTTACTTAGGTTGCCATTTGCTACAAGCTTGGAACTTAGTATGGCTTGTTTTCCATGAACTGGAAATACAATTGTGAACTTTAAAGTTCCCTCTGACCACAATTGACCTGCTATAAGGAGCTGTCACTGGGAAGTAATTTGCACATTGTATGAACCAAACACCTTTATGAACTTCTGATATATTTTATTCTTGAGAAGGACCTTGGGTGTTAGTGGTGCTGTGTTTGGAGATGGACGCTGGCTGGCCTAAACTTATGATCCTCCTGCCTCAGCCTCCTGAATGCTAGGATTACAAATGTGTGTTTCTTCCTGACTGACCTTTGTTTTATTGGTGTATATTGTCAATGTGTGGTTGTAAGCATTTTATTCTATTCATACTAGAGAAGGCTTACTTTGGATTTACACCAATAAGGCAAATGTTTTTGATACTACAGAAATTTGATCCATTAGTAAGTGAACTAGTTGATGCCTAGTTCTCAGTGGGAACTTAATAATGGATAAATAATAATAGTTGTTTATAAAATTAACTATGGATTTGGCTAAAGAGAAAAGTTATAAATCTGTCTCCAGGCATGAAATACTGACCTGTCTTTGGAGGTTTAACCAAATATACAGTTGGAAATCTCAGCTGTTGTGACCAAGTGAAATCAATGACCTGTGTTACCTATAACACTGTGCATTGGAGAGCACCAAAGATCAATATAATAACATGTGCCATTGTTGATGTAGAATGGAAGAATGATTCTGGCATTGCCTACTTGCCTCATTTGCATTTCTTCACATGTCTGTTGAAATTCAAAGAACATTAAAGTGTTCAGCATAAGGAAACAACACAGACTTCTCCATTTACTTCTTAACTTCACAGCAGTAGGGTCAGATTTTACCATCTCTGAAAGTCTTCACTAGTTCAAAATATTGTAACTTTATATAACTAAATCTACCTTCTTTAATACTCCTTTTGGCAAAGCTATCCATGCTAGGGGCTGTTTCTCTTTCAATTTGAAATTAAAAACATTGCAAACCATGTTACATTTGGCTCAGTAGAGTAAGATTGAATTAAAAGATGCATCTGTATTCCTGACTTATCTCATCAGAGGAGGAAAGAGGGCCAGGGAAAATAGAAATATTTATTCTTTGAACAGCAACATAAAAATCCAGACTGCCTGTTCTGTAGGAAAGGTACATTCGTAAGCTTATATGTTTATGTCTGGGTAGGCATGTTCACTCATACCAATCACAGATGTCAATGCCCAGAAGTAGACATTTTATATAAGGTAGGCTATTATATGGAGCCTTAGGAGATTAGTCTTGTAAATTTTGAACTAGTCAGTCAAAGTATGTAAAATTATACCTGCAGATTACCAAGGATTTTGCCTCCTGGCAGTCTTGATTATGACACAAAGTTTTGATTAAAAAATAAGCAATAAGGCCTCTAAAATATCAAAATTATGTTTGTAAAATCCTAATACTGAAGTTCACATGGTTATTCCAGATGTCCTCCCCCCTCCTTTCCTCCATTCGTTTTTCTTTCCTCCTTTCTCTCCCTCCCTCCGTCCACCCCTCTTTCTTTTTTTTTTTTTTTTTTTTTTTTTTTGGTTTTTGAAATGAAACCAGACAAGTGCTCTATCACCAGCTCAATTCCAGATTGCCAGGTTCAGGAATATATGAACGACTGTGCTTGTTATTGTTCTGAAGCCCTCGTTTTGAAGCCCACCTTTCAGGATACAACATGAGTTTTAAATGAGATCCGGTCATCACTGAAACATTGCTGTGAATTAGTGTTTGGGGTAAAGGGAATGTTATTTCTCTCCTGCCATCATCTTCCCTCCATTGAGGATTTGAGTATTTTAAGACTGTATTTTTTTAGTGAAGTTCAGTAAGATGCCCATATTTTAAGTTTTTTCATTTTATTTTATTCATATGGATGTTTCCCATGTATGTATACCTGTGTACTTTGTGCATTTGTTGCCCATAGAGGCTAGAAGAGGACTCTATATTCCCTGAGAATGAAGTTGCAGAGGGGTTTAAGCTGCCTTGTGGGTGTGGGGAATAAAATCTGGGTCCTGTGCAAAAACAGCAAATGCTCTTAAATGCTGAGCCATCTTTCCAGGCCTAAGACCCCTGCATTTTATGTGGTTTGCTAATCTGCTAGGATTGGCCAGCTTTCAATAAAACCAACATTGAGTGCCCTTTGATGCATGCATGCAATTGTCTCCCTCTTTTTTTAGTCAGTGCACAGATGGGGCCAAACCCTTCCTGTCTAGCTCATTCCATCAGGGTGTGGCTGGGGTGTGCACGGTCATGTGCACTTGTGTGTTCCTCTGCAAATGCTGTCAGCACGTCCAGTCTAAACATTTCCTGAAACCTTGAAATATGTGTTAAGTAATCAATAATTCTGGATCTCTAGATGTGTGTGGAAACTCTCCCTACTTTTGCAAAGTGTTCCATTCAAGAACATGACTAACCCTTAATGAAATCTTCCAATTTGATGTTGGTGTATAACATGAAGGAAGATAAACTAAAAATGTGAAAAGAACAGATGTTCTTTTGTGTCTAGTAGACAACACTTCAGATTCTTAGGAAAACACACAGTTTTTTAGAGTCCCTGGCACACTTAGAGAAATAAAGTTTAAACTAAAAAAGTATTTTTTATATTTTTTTATGTGTGGGTGTTTGCCTACATGCATATCTGTGCACCACATGTGTTAAGTGAGCAAAGAGAAGATGACATTGGATTCTTTGGAACTGGAGCTACAGGTAGATGTAAAGTGCCTTGTGGGTGCTTGGAATCAAATCTGAGTTGTCTGGAAAAGCAGCCAGTGTTCTTAACTTTTTGAGCCATCTCTCCAGCCCTGCAGTGCAGTTTACAGATCGCAAACAATCTACTGTGGATGACATTCGGGAAAAATGTGATTGCATGGCTGGTCCTCAGCAGTTTGGTTCCTAGAACATCTGCCTGATGCAGAGTTGGTTGGTAAGATATGTAGGTGTTGCTGCCATCATTACTGGGAAGAGTGGAGCTATGAAAATAGTTAACCTAAGGCTCTAAGCCCTCATTGAGTCTTCCACTGAGGTAGGATATGGGGAGGAATCCCAGTGTGGACCACAGTACTGGGCAGACAAAAATTCTTAGCTAGGAGATTTCTTGAACTTACACATGCCACACAAACACTACCACTGAGCTCTCTCTTGATTACTCTTTTTCACTATTTACTTTGAAACAGGATCTAGCTAAATTGGAAACCATCCTCCTCAATACTCAGGCAGTCCTTGAACCTGTGAACCTCTTGCCTCAGCAGTCAAAGTTTCTTGGATTATAAACATGCAAAGGCAGGTTCATCTTAGAAATAACACATTATGTTATTACTATTATGTCCTTTGTAGGTAGGATGTCAAAGCAGGGCAGAAGTAGTTTTTGGAAACCTAGTTGATAGAATATAACCTTTTATTCAACACATGATTTCTACACAATTGTGTGATTCTATAAAGCAGAAAGACTAGAGGATGTGTGTGGGATCTGTGGCTTTCTGCAACTGAGATAGCTTTGGATATCAGTTCTGCCAAAGTTTTACACCTGGGAGCTAGTAAGATGCAGTCAGCAATGTGACTGATATACAACTCCCCTCCAGGTAGCTAACACATACTTTCCCAAAAGCTTATTAACTCGATTCATGATTCTTTCAGGCATACAACACCTGTTGATTAAATATGGAGATACAGATGCTAATTTGGAGTGAATCATTTGCTGGTAAAGTTATACAAGGTAGAACTGATGCACATAAATTCTGTATATGTAAAGAACTATTATACAAAAATCTAGGAGAGGCAGTCTCTTCTTGTGTTTCTCTCTACCTTGATGTGTGAGTGAACAACTTTGCTCTGATTAAAGGACCTAATCAACAGTTTGTTAAGATCATTTGCTTTGTTTTTTTGGAAAATCGCCAATGGAAACTGAGTCCTACATGATTTTTAAAAAGATCTATTTTATTTTTTTAGTTTCTCTCTCTTTTTTTGTGTGTATGTGTGCGTATGAATATGTGCACACGGGTGCAGCTGTCTGTGGAGCTCAGAAGGGTGTCAGATCTCCTGAAACTGGAGTTACATGTGGTTGTGAGCCTCCTGATCTCAGTGCTGAGAACTGAACTCGGGTCCTCTGCAAGAGCAGTGTGTGCTCTTAACTACTGAGCCATCTCTTCAGCTCCAAAGTATAGTTTTGAAAAATCCATGGGTAAAATTAGAGATTGTCAGTTTAGGGGTGATCTGGTGAAGCTGCTGTGGGTCCAGTGTGATGAATCACAGGCCTTGCTTTTTCAATGCCACTGGTGACTCCTCACAGAACAAAATTTGTTTAGCTCCTGTAGTGGAGAACCTTGCAAACTTCATTCGGTCAATAGCATGATTCCCCATGTGGCTGTTTGATTTCTGATGTCAAAGGGTCTTTTGGAATTTCCTGGAAGGCGTCTTGGATGCTGTGTGGAGGACAAGGGCCAGAGAGTTAGCATGAGGAGTATGGAAGGCTGCCTTTTAGGCTGCTGCAGCCATTTGTCATCCTCACTAAAACCTGGAGCAGCTCTAGCTGGAGTCTCAAGTCTTCTCATCAGGAGCTGTTAAGTGTGGGCTAAAGAACTGCTGTGGTCTTAGCTAGTGCCTTGCTTGGCATCTTTTTTAATAATCAACTTTAAACTAATGATCTATGTTGGAAAACACTGGAGAGATTTTGTAGGCTTTTTCTTTGTTTAATATGCTTCTTATTTGAACTGGAAGGCTGTTCAGGAAAAAGTGAAATAATGCTTCAGAAATATTTGTGGTTCTTGATATATAAGCCAGAATGAGAAAATCATAGGTTTGTTCCATGTATAAAAATACATTTTAGTATTGCATGAAAAAGCCTTGTCTTTGATGTAGAATATCAGAAATCACATTAAATGATTTTTTCTCTTGAAATAGATAAGGTAATTATTGGTTCTGGGCTGTAGATCTAAAGCTATTTTGAGGCTAAGTGTGCTCTTTTTGTTCTGAACTCTTTGGTAATGACTTCCAGATCTGGTCTTTATTCATTTTGGACATTAGAAATGTTAGGTGTTTCATATACACCCAGGGCCATTAGAATAATTTTGGGAAGAAACAAGTAAAGTTTCTTTGAAGGAGTTTAATCTGTTGACATTCTACAAGACAGTGTTAGATTATAGAATTTAAGGAATCCTGAAAAATAATATTTTGTTTCTTTATTATAATAGCCTTTTGACTTTTCTCTATTGAACCATGAGCTATTATGTTGAGAATTTTTGAAGCCAATTAAACTTACCATGTTGATATTTTACAAATTTATTTATTTTTATTTTGTGTGTAAGAGTATTTGCCCACATGCTGGCATATGCACCATTGTATGTGCAGTGCCCATGGAGGCCAGAGGAGGGATTGGGTTCCTGCAGACTGGAGTTAACAGACGGCTGTAAATCTCTGTGTGGTGATGGGAATTGAAGCTGGGTCCTCTGGAAGAGCAGCCAGAGCTCTTAACTATTGTTTCCCATTTTGATATCTTAAAACTATTTCAATGACATGTTAGTATTGCATTTTTTTGAACAGAAACCCACTTAGAGGTGATTTAGCTTAATATTTTCACTCTATGGTCATTGAAACCGAGTCTAGAGAATTCTCAAAGGAAGAATAATGACTAGAACCCAAGCCCCTGGTCATTGATGCTGCTTATTAAGAAAGATTGTGCTTTGGCATTATCTTCTGGTCTGTGATGTATGCAGGGTTTGGGGCTTGATGCCAGGGATTTTCTGGGATTGCTAATATAGCTGTATTGGCCTAGGAAATGTGTTTAAACTGCTTCAAAAGTAGTGAAGAAGTGCTACTGTCAAAGAAGATTTTGTTTAAAAACAGGGTCTCATGTAGTCCAGACTGGTCTTGAACTCATTCTGCAGCTGAGGATGACCTTAAACCTTCAGCATATCCTGCCTCCACCTCATGAGTGTGGAGATTATAGGTGTTGTCACCATGATGGGCTGATGCAGTGCTGGGCACCCACACAGAGCTTCATGATGCTGGTGTAACAGATGAATTTTACTTTTTCCTTTAAACTCCAGCTGCATACAGCACTATGTTGCCTTGATTCAGAATTTAAAACTTCCAATTGTATATTTTAACAACACAAATAACAACAAATATCAAAAATAGGCTTGCTATTTCCTTTTTTCGAAT